ATCAATAATTGGTATCTAGAGCTCTGACTCAAAATCCACAGGGAAACACAGGTGAACAATGAGGTGTTGTGTGATTGAGAATCATATTTTTCTGATTCTGTGGGATTTGGGAACACTGTGTTAGTGAGTTTTGAGTGAACTGCACAAGGCTGAAGATGAACGGAAGCAGCGATATCAGTTCCAAGCTTCCAGTGTTTGATGGTAAAAAATGGAATCGTTGGAAGATCCAGATGCGTGTGTTGTTCGGTTCTCAAGATGTGTTAGATCTTGTCACTGATGGCTATGCTTCATTAAAAACAGACGCGGCATAGGCACAAAAGACAACACAGAAGGCGGTAAGGAAGAAAGATCAGAAAGCAATGTTCTACATCCATCAGTGTATGGATGCAAATGTGTTTGAGAAGATTGTTGACTCTGAAATAGCAAAGGTTGCATGGGACACACTGGTCAGATGTTACGGTGGTGATGCATCAGTGAAAAAGGTGAAGCTTTACTCCCTAAGAAAAAAATATGAGAATCTCAACATGAAGGGCAATGAGAAGGTTTCTGAGTACATCTCTAGAGTGATTCTGGTTACTAATGAGATGAAAGCTTGTGGAGAAACCCTTTTTGAACAAGTAATCATAGAGAAGGTGTTGAGATATTTAACTTCTCAGTTTGATTACATTGTGGTAGCAATTGAACATTACAAAGATCTGAGCACCGCGAGAGTTGAAGAGCTTCAAAGTAGTCTAGAGGCGCATAAGTTGCGCATGACTGAGAGAACTTCTGAGAGGGAAGTAGAGCAGCAGGCTTTGAAAGCAACTTCTGGTAAGAAGTATCAGAAGCAGACTTGGTCAAAATCCAGAAAGAAAACTAATAGTGGTCAGAGGTCAGAAGCTTCAAACTCTGAAGGAAGAAGAATGTCCAGAAGGGAAAGGAGAAGTCTGATAAGAAGAATGTTCAGTGTTACTGTTGCAAGAACTTTGGTCACTATGCCAAAGATTATTGGTCAAACAAAGAAAGGAAGTCAGAAGAAGCAAATATAGCCAGAGGAGAGTCTGACGATGAACCTGTGCTATTGTTGGCTTCTGAATCTGATGATATGAATTCATCAGAATGGTGGTATATGGACACAGAGTGTTCAAACCATCTTACTGGAAACAATAAATGGTTGGTTTATTTTAACTCTAGGAAGAGTACAAAGATCAGATGTGATGATGATAAATACCTTAATGCAGAAGGTATGGGAAATGTCAGAGTCATTCTAAACAATGGGAAAGCACCAGTGATCCAGAATGTGTGGTATGTACCTGGCATGAAAAGCAATCTGATAAGTGTGGGACAACTGACTGAGAAAGGTTTTTCAGTTACCATGAAGGACAATCTTCTGAAGTTGTATGATTGTAATCAGAATCTGATTATGGAGTCAGAACAGGTAAGGAACAAAATATTCAAGGTGAATGTTAGAACTGCATACTCTGAATGTCTTAGTGCAACAAGTGTTGTCAAGGAGAGTGAGCTGTGACACATAATATTTGGTCATCTGAAATCGAAGAAGCTGGTACATGGAATTCCTACAATCAAGAAGCCCGAGAAGTCATGAAAGGTGTGCATGGAAGGGAAGCAACCAAGATTGCCATTTGCGCCAGAAGTAGCTCCAAGAGCAAAGTATGCCTTGAGAGTAGTGCATTCTGATGTGTGTGGTCCATTTCCAGTAGCATCGATTGGAGGGAATAAATACTTTATGTCATTTGTTGAAGAGTTCACCAGAATGACATGGGTATCTCTCATAAAGTTCAAACACGAGGTGTTTTCTGAATTCAAGAAATTCAAACTGAAGGTTGAGAATCAGAGTGGCCAGACTCTGAAAATTCTTAGAACTGATGGTGGTGGTGAGTATAACTCTACAGAGTTCAGAAGGTTATGTGAGGAGAATGGAGTTGAGAATGAGATTATTGCTCCATATACTCCTCAATACAATGGTATTGATGAAAGAAGAAACCATACTTTGATTGATATAGTGAGAAGCATATTGAGAGAGAAGAAGCTTCCTCATACTTTGTGGGGAGAAGCTGTTTTCACTGCATGTTATATGCTTAACAAATGTCCAACGAAGAAGCTGAAGGAAATAGTTCCTATTCAGAAGTGGACTAGAGAAAAGAAAAGTGTTAGTCATCTAAAGGTGTTTGGTTCTGTATGTTACAAACATGTCCCAGAAGCCAGAAGATAGAAGTTGGATGATAGAAGTAAAGTAATGTTACTGGTGGGGTACCACAGTACAGGTTCGTACAAACTTTATTGTCCAGAAACTAACAAAGTTGAGTTCAGCAGAGATGTCATTATAAAAGAAACAGAAGTCTGGAATTAGGAAAAATCTCATTCTGACTCTGATGAGAGAACTCCTGAAGAAAAGTCAGAAACACATGTTTCTGAAGCTGGTAAAGATTTGACTCTGAAGACTAGTCTGATGGTGACTTTGACTCTGAAGTAGATTCAGAAGGTGAAGATGATTCTGACTCTGAATTCGATGGTGATTCAGACTGTGGGAATTTTCCAGACTCTGAACTCAGTCACGGTTCTGGAGAAAGTCCAATTTCTGAAGCAAGAGCTTCTAAAGGGGAAAGTTTGGGTGTTCGAGTTCTGAAGTTCAAGTTCAGAGGTAACAAAGAGTCAGAAGCATCCCAAGAAGATTTGTAGAGTTTGACATGTTGCAAGATACTGAAGTAGACTCCGAAGGAGAAGTTATTCAGGGTGTAATGTTAGTAGACTCTGAACCCGTGAGTATGAAAGAGGCTCTTAAGCAGCAAGTTTGGTTGCAGGCCATGAAAGAAGAACTTGATGCTATAGAGAAAAACAAGACTTAGAAGCTGACAAAACTTCCAAAAGGCAAGAAAGTCATCAACGTCAGATGGGTTTTCAAGCAGCATCTAAAGGAAGATGGATCAATTGGCAAGCACAAAGCAAGATTAGTAGCAAGAGATTTTCTATAGAAACCTGGATTGGATTACTCTGAAGTGTTTGCACCTGTAGCGAGACATGAAACAATCACATTAGTGATTGCAATAATTGGCCTCTGATGCATTTAGATGTGAAATCTTCATTTCTGAATGGTCCATTACAAGAAGAGGTATACGTGTCACAACCTCCTAGATTTAAGAAAAAAATCAGGAAGGGATGGTGTTCAGATTGCACAAAGCCTTGTATAGATTAAAGCAAGTACCCAGAGCCTGGAATCTGAAGATTGGTTTATTTTTCAAGGAACAAGGGTTTCAGAAGTGTGAGATAGAGTATGGTGTTTATGTTCAATACACTCCATAAGGAAATATGATTCTGGTATGTTTGTGTGTTGATGACATATTACTAACGGGAAGTTATGAACAAGAGATAGCTAAGCTCAAGAAGGTTTTGACGAATGAGTTTGAGATGACAGATCTTGAGAAAATGAGTTACTTTTTAGGGATGAAGTTTATGTATTCTGAGAAATGAATCATTTTGCATCAGATGAAGTATGAACTTGAGCTTCTGAAGAAATTTAAGTTGGAGAATTGCAAAACTATTATCACACCTACTGATACAAATCAAAAGTTGGACTCTGATTCTGATGGAGAGGATGTGGATGCTACAACCTTCAAACAATTGATTGGTTCTCTGAGGTATTTGTGTAATACCAGACCTGATACTTGCTATGCAGTTGGAATGGTTAGACGATTTATGAGTAAACCAAAGTGGTCTCATTACCAAGTTGCTGTCAGAATTTTGCGGTATGTGAAGGAAACTCTGAAGTATGAAGTGCTATTTCCTTCTGGAAGAAAGATCGAATCAGAACTTCTGAGTTATTCAGACTCTGATTGGTGTGGAGACAGAATTGACAGAAGAAGTACTATTCAAATTTCTGAGAGGTCTTATTTCTTGGTGTTCCAAGAAGCAACATGTTGTTGTGCTGTCAACCTGTGAAACTGAATATATTGCAGGCGCTCTGACTGCATGCCAAGCTGTGTGAATTCTGAACTTGCTGCAGGATCTGAAGATCGAGGTAAACAAGCCTCTGAATTGATTATTGATAACAAGTCTACAATCAATCTTGCTAAGAACCAAATGTTGCATGGAAGAAGCAATCATATTGAGATCAAATGTCACTTTCTGAGGAATCAGGTCCAGAGTGAAATATTAGAAGTTGTGCACTGTAATACCCAGAAATAGTTGGCCGACGTTCTAACAAAGGTTGTCAAGATTGATCAATTTCTTCGTTTGAGGGATGAAATTGGTGTTATTATTTTTGTGTAAATATAAATTAAAAGATAGTGTTGAAAATAATTTATATTTTAGAAATGTCTTGTTGACTAAATTTGTTAGAGAATATTTTAGTATTTTATTATATCTTAATATTGTATATAAATAACCTAATAATAGATAGATTAATATATTCATTACTCCTTATTTTATAACTGTTATTTAATATACTTCTTTTATCTTTCATCTCTTGTCTGTGCACCAACAGTATCATCAGTTCTAGATAATACTGTTTTTTTTTAATCTTTGATGGCATTTCTTATGTCCTTTTAACCTATGTTTTATTGCTTTGGCCTTCCAAAAAAAAAAACTATTAAACTTAGTTGAATAATTTAATTTTTTGCTAGTCTTTGACAAAAGAAGCAATGAAAATATCTAACTCTAACCAACCAAATGACACCTTGAATAAATGGCTAACTAACTGCACACAATCACACCTAACTTCATTTTTCTTGACCCAATTTCACATCTAAATTACTATTTCTCCAACTACTTTTTTTCATGCAATTAACTTAAAACTGTATTTGTTAAAAATAAAATAAAAAAACCTTAAAACTGTATTAGATTAATTAAAAAGAACATAGCTAAGAAAATGGGATAAAAATAAAAACAATCCATACCTTACCTGCTGCCTACCTGACTACCACTACAACTATAACCACTAAATATTTTACAAAAAAACATGAACCCGGTTCAAACCCACTACAACTCTTTCCTATTCTAAACTCTCAGCAACTCGTGACTAATTGGGTCTGACCCGACAAACCGGACTCCGGTCCAACCATCCCTTTTCTCTTCCTCATCTCCAACACTTTCCGGTGGCTATTGGAATGAATTCCGCTGCTAAAAGTTGGGCTACAAGCAGGTCTATACTCCGAAAAAAGCCTACCGGATTTATACCGAACCCCACACGCGTTACACAGGGTTTTCGCTCCTAACGGACCGGTTCTCCACTGCGGCGTCTTCTGCACTTGGCAATGACTACACCGTCGCTGTAAATGGGTCTCCTCTTGGGCTTCAGCCCCGTCAACTTGGGCCTGGGACTGAGCCTGAACCTTTTTCTTCTGTTTCTTCACTGGCGGCTCTCCGAAAACCGTAGACGGAAAAAACGGACGTAAAATCAAAGACCTAAAAGCCCAGGCCTGAGGGTTTGGTTTTCTGCTCTTGACGGTTCTGGTTTTTCTGGTAATTTTTTCATGGTTCGGTTTATTTTGAGGATACGCCTTGGTTTGAACATGAACCGGGTAGAGAAGAGAAAGCTCTGGTAGAGAATCATCTACAAAGTGAGAAACCCATTCAAGACCTGCCACGTCATCATCCTGTAAATAAAATTTACAGTTGTTTCAGTTTCACTTACAATTTCGGTTACAAAACGGAGAAGAAGATGAAAGTTTCAGTGAGAGACTCACCGGAACGAGTAATTCAGTTGAGAAAATGGAATCATAGGAAGCGTCGGTGGAATTGGAGTTGCTATCTTCCGAAAGCGAGTGAGAGGAAAGAGATAAACTATCTTTTTCTTCGGAATCTTCTTCGTCTTCGTTATGTTGTTGTTCATAGTGAATAACATCGCCGTTGGAGAAGTCAAAGAGGTCGTCGACTGAGAAATCTTCACCGGCAACCACCGCGCTGGAGTTAAAGCTAAAAAGTTCCTCACCAAGCGTTTGTTGAAAAACAAACTCCCTCCGTAAACTCGGTTTCAAAGCTTTTGCTACCGCAAACTCCATTTTTCTGCAAATAAATTTAACTATTAACCAGTTTCAAACTTCAGGTTTAACTTTTTTGTTAAATTTTCATTATTATTACCTGTTAACAAAAAGAAGATGAATTGAAGTTAGGTTGAACTCGAAAAGAAACTATGAATTTTTCTTTCTTCTGTTTCTCTACTCTTATTGTTATAGTTTTTTTTTTTTTTTTAATTTTGTTTTGGAATTTAAATACAGTAGACATATCTTCCTTTGTAAAAAGGGTGATCCAGCATGCGTGTGACATTTGGTCACGTGGTGGGGCATGACTATTATTGGAATAGTTATAGTTATAATTATACTTTTATTTTTTATTTTTTAATAAAAGAATGAAACGTAAAATTCAAAATTTCTTTTATCGATGATTCTTGTATTTATCTTTGATGGCCCGGTCCAATGCAAGTGGTTGAGTTGAGCCGGCTAAAAAAAACGTTAAAATCAAACGCCGGTTTTGACTGTTGATGGTGAAGATAAATCAACGGCTGAGATTGAACGTTTTGAAAAAACAGATTCCGCAACGCAACGAATTTGTTACTAACAAGGAAACCGCCTTGGATGAAAAAGTGGGTCCAGCTGTTTGGGTATTTGCGAAAATGGGAATGGTTCGTTGCGTTGATTTTGCCTCGTGACGTGGCAAATTGTTTTTTTGATAAATAAAGTATTTTAAATTTGTTGAGGACTGTTTGGCGCGTGAAGTTATTGACTTTTAAAAGTAATAATGTGAGTGAGATTCGTGGCTTCAACTAACTTATCACGTTTGGACTCGACTTATTTTTGGCGCGTTTCTTTTATGCTTTGTGGACTCTTAGCTGTATTCCTTAACATGTAAAATTATGTTTTCTTTTGCTTTAAGCCAAATACTTCATTCTTTATTTTATTATTAATATTGATTTTTTTATTTTATTTTACTACTTTTAGATTTTATTTGAAAGAGTATCTAGTCTAGGATTTAGAAACATTGCCTAATGAGAGAAATTGAAAGGAATTAAGAGATGTTATAGCTATTAATTATTGTGGGGAGATTTGATGAGAATATTAAACACAATTGAAATTTGCATTCACTCTGGCTACTAATTATTGTAGTAGTAAATAAGGGCTTGGTTTAGTTTTTGTAACATATTTTTAGTTTTTAATATTTAAAAATAATAAAATTTGTTTGATATTAGTAGTTTATTTTTACAAAACTATTTTAAAAGAAAAATCTATGATTTTTTGAAAATTAGAAACGTAAATAAGTTTTAAATTTTTTTTATTTTTTATTTTGAAAATTGAAAAGAGAAAAAAGTAAAAACAAAAAAAAAGTATATTTTTTCATTGATGATACATTTGTAATTTCGCCCACTTTTAATTTTGTTTATATAAATCCTATTATTTTATGATAACAAATATATGTCAAAATCACAAATATATTCGTAAATAATATTTATATTCCGAGGTCGAGTGTAAGAACAAAAAAGACAAAGAAATTCAATGTAACATTGGTAAAGGCAAAACAATGTGAAACGATAAATAAATTTTAAGTTTAACATTATTTAGATTAACCTACTCGTAAAATCTATCTTCATTGTCTATATTCATTCGACTGTCATCTGCATCTTATGCTCACACTTGCATTTAATGTTAACTGACTATTCTATTTAAAGAGATAAATGTGACATTTGTCAAATAGGAATTTCATTTTTCATTTACACTATACTTCTCACTTTTTTATTGACATGAACATTAGAGTGTTAACCTTGCAATTCAACTCCTCTCCATAACATCAGAGCCTTGAATTACCGTAGCATCACACCAGTTCAACCTCTTCGATCATCGTTATATTCCATAGCAGAACATTGGTACCGTCTGTGAGAACCAGTCTTTGATTCCTATGATTTCCATTATCTATTGTTTCTCGATTCCTATGAGTTTACGAACCCTTTACGAATTTGAATAGACTCGCGAGTCTGACAACCTTGGTTATACATCTGCTGCATCATCTACATTGTAAACTCTTGTTGTCGTTGTTGCATCTATAACTAATGTTGCTCTTGTTAGTACATCATTTATGCCCATTGTCCTTCATCACCTCCCACTTCGGGATTTGCTTCTATGTTATAAGCATGAGCGGCCCTCAGCCTTCCGCGTCCTCATGGTCTCTCAACCATGATCCTACATGTCACATATATAGATATCAAGTTGATTAGGCATAAAACTAGATACTATGACTATTGTACCCCAAAATTTCCCCTCTCATTTATCAAATAATCTCTCACAAGATCTCATTTGATTACTGCACAAGGGTTGATCAACTCAAGACACATCCTCAAGCACTGATGACTGAAAATTAAGGTTTGAGCTTGCACAAGGACAAATAGACTTTTAATACCTCATATGACTTTCATGGATCATTTTGGACCCTCAAGATTGCTCATGTCAAGTTTCAAGTCTTGGATAACATTTTTGCTCAGTCAATTGACCAGTTGACCTAAAATCAACTGTATTGGGGAAAAAGTCAACTGTGGTCAATTTACAGTCAAGCTTCATAATTTTTGATCCATATCAATATTATGAACTCGTATATATCATTTGATCAAGTTTGGATCACAATTCCTCAAGAAATTTGATCAGACCATCAAAAGGCCAAAATGGTCAAAATTAGGGTTTTTGACTGAGAGGGTGCAATTTCTAATTTTTGACCTATAAAATGATTGATTGGTTTAAGTTATGATCTCAAGGATTCAAATGCTTCATTTTTACCTAATGGCGTGGCTCAAAACATTTCTCAAGCTTAAGTGATTGACAGATAAATTTTAGTCGACAGATGAATTTTAGTCAACTGATGAAAAGTCAACTGTACACTAAAAAGTCAAACCTTAACTTTTTGATCAAAATCAAGTATCAGAGATCACAATTCATAAAGACGTGTCAAAATATGAAACTTGTTCATCAAGAAATCAAAAAGTCAAGATTTCATTTTGAAAAGTCAAAATTTCTAAACTTAGAAATTTTTCTAAGTGTTGGAAAATTCATATTTTTTCACAACTTCGAGCCAAATTTCCACCATGATGCAAGATGATTCAAAGGAAACTTCCAACATGAAAGTTGTAGATTTCAATGAGGTATAAAACATTGTAGAACATAACTTCTTCTATAAATGCTTGGATTTCAAGTTATGATTTTAAGAAGACATGTTCATGAAACTTGAAAAACTTAGTGAAATTTTGCCCGAGTTTAGGCAGGATTTTGACCTAACTTCATGGAAATTTTTCACATAGTTCCAAGATGAATCTTAAAAAATGTCCAACATATAAGTTGTAGAGGATGCTACAAGCTTTTTAAAATGTCTAAGAACTCATTGAGATCATACTTGAACAAGGAGAATCGAAGGCAAGAAGTTAGAGTTTCATTCTTGAATTACAAGTCATTTCTTGATGAACACATGATTCAATCTCAATGCTAGGCTGCATAATATTTGCTTTTCAGGCATCAAACTTGTTTGCCACTCCATAATTAATGTTTTGCATAGCTGTTAGAAGCTTTAATCCAAGTATTCAATGCATTGCACATGCTTAATACCATTTTAGGAAGAAAGACAACGTTGCCATTTTGGAAAAGTGGCTTTATGCATAAAGTCCACTCTTCTTGAGCCTTTAACTTGTTGTTCTGAATACACACAACATGTATGCTCAGAAGTAACATGTTTAAAGCTTCTAAGCCACCCTATAAGCCAGGTACTTGTGCATTGGAACCACATTTTCTCAAGCTTTCTTCAAAATCAAGCAAAAAGCCACAAACATGTGATTTTGAATTCTAATCAAGGACAAGTCTCCAAACTTGTTGCTTATAAATAGAGGCACTATTTGTGAGCTAATACACGAGCATTAACATCCTGAAACTCCCCCAAACTCCGTCTAGCCAGAAATTGCCCCAAAACACCATTGTTGCATAGTTTCTGACTTTGAACTTGTAACTCATATTTCCCTCGTGCGTTTCTTGGCCTTTTATTTCTTAAAGCTCCTATACATCAAATATAACCTATCCCTGTCCCTGTTTCATCACTGTAACACCATTTGCATCAAACTCCATAACCAAAAACAGAGCATTGCAAATTAACTTCTCCAAGCCATTCCATCCATCCATTGCTCAAGCTAATAATTGCATTAGCTTCCTGGGAACTTGAGGAAGCTAACCTGATCATCATAACTCCTTGAAAGCAGCTCAAACTCATTTCACGATTTCCAGTTTTGAGGTATATTTTCTAAACTTCTATCTTCTCATTTAAGCATTGTTAGGCTTGCATTTGTGAAGATAAAATGTAGACATCATTACCCTGAAGCTGTACATGTCCATAGATTTCATTTATATTGCTTGAGCTTAGAGAATTTTATGTTTGAATCTCTGAAAATAATTAGGTCAGAATTTGGTACTTTCAAAAATTCTCATTCATCTTTGCTTTATAGCTTATGATATTTATATGGTTGGATTCGTATGGAAAAATGGAGCAACTTTCATATTTGCATATTTTATTTTTGTTGAGAAATGGTGAAGTTACAGATGTTTAGGCTGGAGGTTGAAGATGAAGTCATATTCAGGACTTGATTTATGTTATATGTTTATTATTTCACCAATGTTACCAGATGTACAACCACCCCAGTGGCAAAGGTAGCGCGCGTTTGTGTTAGAGGTCAGGGGTTCAACACTCAACGCTACCTTTTTTTTCTTATTTTTCACATTTTCACTCTTTTTTGTCACAAGCTGCAGGCGCTGGGTCTCCAATAATGGATCTTCCACTTTTTTTGCTTTTTCTAACCCCCTGTTTACTTCTGCATGCTGGTCCAACCTTTTTATTTTTCATTTTTATTTATTTTCTTCTTCTTATTATTTTTATTTTCAGTTTTCTTTTATTATATTTTTATTATTACTATTATTATTATTTCTATTAATAAAAAATCCAAAAATATTTTTATTTATTATTTTTATACTTATTTATTTTATTTGCT